GGAGGGGCCCCCCCCCCCCCACTGCCAATTCTTTCTCTCCCAGTCCTTCCAGGAATACAGGAACCTCTTCTGACTCGAGCCCCAGCTCCAGAAACCTCTTTCTCCAGATTGATGAAGAGATCCAGAGAAGGAGTACAGGAAACAAAGGATGAGGATACTACCCTCTATCCTGTAATTGCCGTAGTGCGCCTTGTGCCCTCCATTTTACAGAACATATTCCATGCACCATACTCCTGGCTTACCCTACTTTCTAAGAGGCCTTGTCTGCTGCCCACTGCTAGGTCTCCAAGTATTCCTACTTCCTGCAGTCCTAGATCCCCTTCTCCAAGCCTCTGACCTTCCATTCTCAAAGAGGAAAAGTCCCCAGGGAAGGATTCGGCCCCTGGCTTTCCCTCTGCACTCTGATCAAAGCCAGTGTTCCTTCTTGGTCACCCTGAAGGCAGACATGATCACCTTACAGACAGGTGCCTAATACCTAATCTGCATTTCAGTTATATTGCTATGCATAACCAGCCAAACTCTCCTTATGTGGGAATGTGGGATCCAGTTTCTCTAGGTTTTCCCTGATAACAGACACCTGGGGAAGAAAGGAAGTGCCTAGACTTGTGGGCTCATAGAGTCTGAAGTTGGATGGGATTGGGGTTGGGCTAGGTTGGGCAAGTGAAGTCAGACTAGAACAACCTTCTGACTCTCACCAGAGATTTCATAGGCTTCAGTCTTGAGACAGGAGAACTGGTTTCTGAGGGTGTTAAATTTAGGATGAAGATGGGGATATACAAATACCCTCTTCAAGCAGTTACACAAAGCCCACAAACCACAGTCCTAGTCGCCTAGAGACAAGGCCAGGATCTCATGGCCACCACTATCTAACACACCACACACACACACACACACACACACACACACACACACACACACACACACACACACACACACACTCCCTTTCCAGCACTCTGTCACAATGCACAGACCCAGAGCCTAGCACTCCACTGGCAGAACTGCCCCACCCCCGCATCTTCCCCACAGTTGATATGTCACATTGGAGTCCGAACACGGACCTGGGTGTCTCTGCAGCAGGCCATTTACATTTCTCTCTCAATCTGTCAACCTGTCTCGGATCCTGTCTCTCTCTCTCCATCTCTGTCTCTCCCTCTCCCGCTCTGGGGCTGTCAGTTAGTCTCTTCTACAAGCTTTGTCTCTGTTGCTGTGTCTCTGTCTCTTTGATTTCTCTGTCGTTCCTTCTCTGCTTTCCTGTCAGTTTCCTACTCATTCCCCAGTCTCTCTCTCTCTCTCTCTCTCTCTCTCTCTCTCTCTCTCTCTCTCTCCTCTTCCTCTTCTCTCCTCTTCCTCTTGCTCTTTTCTCCTCTCCTCTCTCTCTGACACGCATACACACACAATCTGCTGTTATGCGACACCCCCCCAACCCTTGGGGCCAGGGTGGAGACCTGCCTTTTCCCATTCTGGTTAACAAGTATTGGTTGAACCCTTTGCCATCTTCGGTATTCGGGTTTGGAAGCCGAAGGGCGTGGGGTGGTGAATTGCAATTGATTTATATTTCCTGTTTGTTGCGAGTCCCCTCGCCCCTTGTTTAGCTCTGCACTCTCCCTCTCTGGTCTTGTCTGTGTGTTGATCCTGACCCCTGTTTATCCCATCGCTCTGTCCGGCTTCTGAGCCCTGAGAATGCGGAACACCAGGTATAGAGTGAAAGTGAGGACACCGTGGGGGCCGTGAATCTGCAAAGCCCTGGGAGCCCGCAAGGAGCCAGGGGCCGAGGGGCTAGCGAGGGAGGCGGGGAAGGCGGCAAGGCCTGCCCCGCCCCCGCGCTTCCCGCTCCGGCAGCCAGGGGTCGCTCCGCCTGCGGCCGCTTATAGTGGCTCCTGCCTCGCAGCGACTCACACCACCCGCACTGCTGCCAGGGGGAGGAAGGTTAGGGACGCAGAGAGCGAGAGCGCTTGCGGGAGGGACGCGCTGGGCCCGGGCTCCAACCGGGGCTCCAACCTGGGCTGCCGCGGTGGCTGCTGGAAGCAAGCAGGTAGTGCTTTCCAAGAGCTAGAGGGCAAAATCTCCGTCCAGTTTGCACCACCCGCAGCTTGCAGCCCGGGACGTCCGGAGCGCGGGGACCGTCCCAGCTCCAGCCTGGAGAAACCGACTAGGGTAGCCTGGTGCCCAAGACACCGCCATCCGAGAAAAAGCAACTGTCTGGAGAGCAGGCATCCCAGACCTGTCAGAAACCAGCCGTCCAAGAAGCTGCGGATCTCAGGTGCCCGGGATCATTAGAACTGCACCCCAGGGTAATATAAGACCACAGGTTCTGAGCCCTCCAGAAGTGTCCCTGGCCCAACCCGCCTCGGGGACCCTCACTTTGACAGACGGTTTGGGGCACAGCACTGCAGGAATAGGAACCCACCAGGGCAAGGTGGTGGGCCACAGCCGTCGGGAGATCCGGACCCAGGCCGGAGCTTGCGGAGAGCCCCAGGCCTCCGCCGCCATTGCGCCCAAAAGTGAGGAAGATCTGCTGGCCCTGGCCGCGTCACGGCTGAGCCGCCGCAAGAGGGTGGCGGGTGCGGCCGTCGGGGTGGCCATGGTGCTGCTGCTGCTGGTGGCCATCCCGCTACTGGTGCACAGCTCCGGGGGACCGACACACTACGAGATGCTGGGTCGCTGCCGCATGGTGTGTGATCCCCACGGGCCGCGGGGACCAGGCCCCGACGGCTCGACGGCCTCCGTGCCTCCCTTCCCTCCTGGTGCCAAGGGAGAGGTGGGACGGCGCGGGAAGGCAGGCCTGCGGGGGCCCCAAGGACCTCCAGGTCCCAGAGGACCCCCGGGAGAGCCAGGCAGGCCAGGTCCCCCAGGTCCTCCGGGCCCTGGACCTGGAGGAGTAGCGGCCCCTGCTGGCTACGTACCTCGAATTGCCTTCTATGCGGGTCTTCGGCGGCCTCATGAGGGTTATGAAGTACTGCGCTTTGACGATGTGGTGACCAACGTGGGCAATGCTTACGAGGCAGCTAGCGGCAAGTTCACCTGTCCCATGCCAGGCGTCTACTTCTTCGCTTACCATGTGCTCATGCGCGGCGGAGACGGCACCAGCATGTGGGCCGATTTGATGAAGAACGGACAGGTGAGACTGCCCCCGCTACCACTTAGCCCCAGAACCTACTAGCGGCTTTCTAAGTCTCCCTGCACTTAGCGGGTACAACCCAGCTCATTCCCCCGAAACAGTACCAGGGAATCCAAGAGTGGCAGGCTACTCAAACATTTATAAATAATTTAGACAAAGAGGAAGACTTGGAGACCTAGAAATCACCTGCCCAAAGTCTCACAGAACATTAGGAATGGTGTTAGGATCAGAACTCAGGACTCAAAGCCCAATGTCTGCAGCTTCAATCTCACACTCCAACCTTAGGTCCCCACACCAAATGCCCTACCCCCTAGCCTCTTTTTCCTCCTATCTTGAGCTGCCTACTGTTCTGGGACAGTCTTCCTGGCTTATGAGTTTCCCAGACTTGGCATGAGACAAGATACTAGGGAATCTGGTTCCAAGAAATTAGATTGAAATCTTGTCTCGGGCAGTGGCATGTCTTGTCCCAGATGAAATCATTAAGGTTGGCTTTTGAAAGAAAGGGGGAAGGAAGGAAGGAAGGAAAAAAAAAAGAAAGAAAAACCACAAAACACTAGATTGCCCATTTGCTAGGCAGCAGTCCTGTCCCCAGCAGAGCCTGAGGTCAAACTTCAACCAGGTCTTGCCCTTGGCTAACACACTAAGTATGTAGGCAGAAGTGGAAAATGTGTGGCAGCTCAAGGGCCAGCTAGGTGGTAGAATGGACCTATTGGATTTGGGTTTGGATGAAATAGGGAGCATGGGGCAGGAAAATTGAAGGCCTGATCTGAGGTTCCTGTACCCTCTCCCTCAACCTACCAGATTCTGATGTTTGCTGCCCCAGGGGGCTGTCATAATCACTGCTACCTTGGTTTTGAGGAATAGCTCCCAAAGGATTCAGCTTAAGGCACACAAAAGAGCAAGCAAGGGAGCTGCCTAAACTGTGCAGGAAGGGGAAGGTTTGGATGGAGCAGCCTCTAAGACCACAGAGGGGATGGTGCCCCCTGAGTCAGGCCTAGTCCTCAGGGTTCCCTGAGCCCCCGTGCCTGCTATATAGTCCCAAATGTCCTCCAGATCTCAAGAAGACATCACCCCAGCCCACCTCCTGCCTCATCTTTAGGGGCTGTTCCCATAAAACCTGAGGAAAGGGAGTTGTGAAGGCATGCTTGTCTGTATGGGATTGAGATCCTGTCTCTAAGGAAACATGAGTGTGTGCATGATTCCAGTGTATCTGTGACTGTGGAGTGTGAAAGTGAGTAGAGTCTTGGTGTCTTTCTGCTTGTGGCCAGGAGTGGATGGCTTGGTCTGGGCCTGGAATCTGGGAGGAGGTGGAAAGTGTGTATTTGGAGTGTGTTGGTTTTGGAGGGGGCGGGGCTGTGCGGCTTCCATTCTGTATTCAGTGGCGCGGGCGCTGCGGCCCTGGGGACGGTAAATAATGATTAGAATAATGATGAATAATTAATGATTTAATAACCAGTCCCTGTGGGACGGAAAGCAGAGTGCGGGGGAGAGGGCTGGAGGTGAGCGACTGCTGTGAGGCCAGAGGAGAGACGGGTCTCCCAGGTTCTAGGGGCACCAGATAGGAATCCCCAGGGAGATGGGCCCCAGGAGGCCAAGGGGCAACTGTGCTACCGTCTCAGAACACACATCCTGCATCACAGGCTCAGACACATCTATGCCCCAGCACCTAGGGAAAGCAAGCTTAGGAGTTCCAAGCTGTGGAATCCTAGAAGTATCCTACAAACTAGTTTTATTTTTTGAATGAAAATTATAGCAAACCCTTTTTTATACAGAACACGGTTCTGAACTCACTCCACGGGTAATAACTCATTTAATTCTTACAACTTCATGAGGCAGGCTCTATTATGCTTGCGCACACTTTATAACGCAAATAGAGGCCCAGAGAAGACTCACTGTGTGTCTGAGTCTCCTGAGTGACAAGCTGAAAAGCTCTGGAATTTTATAGCTTCTCCTGGTCCTCCCCAGCACCTAAGCCACGTTTGCTCCAGCAGTCACTTGACCCCGTGGTCACTTCAGCTCTGCACAGGGCATAGATAGGGTTGTGGTTTTAGTTTTTTGTTTTTCCTCCTTCTTCGCTAGGTCCGGGCCAGCGCCATTGCTCAGGACGCAGATCAGAACTATGACTACGCCAGCAACAGCGTCATTCTGCACCTAGATGTGGGCGACGAGGTCTTCATCAAGCTGGATGGTGGGAAGGTGCACGGCGGTAACACCAACAAGTACAGCACCTTCTCTGGTTTCATCATCTACCCCGACTGAGCCCGCCACCTTCCAGCGCACGTGCTCCCGCTCGCCCCTAGCTCCCTCCTCTCCTCTCCAGCTTGCCCCACCCAAGGCCCCATCCTTGGAGAGCTTGGCTGCAGGGGGTAATCTCCTGCTCCCGGAAGCTACCTAAGTGGGCGGATTCTTGGGGCTCAAGGGTTTAAGTGGCTGGGGAGCCTAGAGGCAAGGCCGGCAGCAAGAAGCGCTGCTTAGGGAGGGACCACCTGGATCCACTTGTGCTCCAATGAAAGCCAGCCGGGAGAGGTGAGCGGGTAGCCCTCTTCTGCCTAGAGCTGGGGAGCAGTTTCGTTAATCTGGATCAGAGACCCACAAGAAGAAAGGAAAATCCTGGCAGCTTGGGAGGGAAAGGACAGAAGGAGCTTGTCTAGGCCAGAGGAGACCCCAGCATGGGTTAGGTAGGATCTCAGCCATGACTGTCCCTTCCACTCCATCTCCATTTTTCAGGCTCCAGCCTTGACAGCCTTCCTGTGACCTGAAGGAACCAATGACTTCTTTCCTAGCATTTAAAACTCATTTTGTACAGTCTCCATTCCACCCCTCTCCAGGCTAGGTCCTGAAGCTACAGCTACCAATAAAGTGAGGTTGGGGGATTGTGTGTGGTTGCTTACCTTGGGGCAGAGAAGGGGTGGGGTTGGAGGTAGTGGCTGGCCCTTTCCCTGACCTCCTGAAGGACCCCCCCCCCCCCATCTGCCTCTCTCCAGCAGAAGGGAACAGCCCAGATTTCTGTTCTGATGTGGGAAGGGTCAGTATCCCCCTTCAGGAGCGTTCTCTCTGCAGGCTGAAGGAAACACCAGCCAGTGGAAGATTCCCAAGGTGTGGGTTTGGTGTGCCTACCCTTTCCCCACTGCAGAAAAAGAATTCTAGCAGTTTGTTTGGTTTTCATTTCTTCCTTCCTTTGTTTTGAGATGGATCACAGATGTTTTGTCCAGGGCGGCCTCTAACTTTGGGTTCAAGTGATTCTCCTGTCTCAGCCTCCATGTAGTTAAGACCTCAGGTGCCCAACTCAAAGTTCTAGCAAAGGCATTCTAGATGAGGAAATAGCCGACACCCCTGAAGTGGGGCTGATCTCAAGGTCAGGAGAGAACAGGTTCCACAATTGCCTTCAACCTACTCAGGAGTTTGGCTAGAAGGTGGGTTGGGCAGGGTTGGAAGGTTTCCTTCAGGAGGATAGCTTCTACTGAGGAAGAGCATGTAAAATCAGAGCACACTGCCACCACGTGGGCAACTGGAGAACAACAGACTGCTCCATTTGAACACTAAGTCAGCTGGATATTTTGGCAACATAGAAACTTTATTAAAGGATAGAAAGAAGGGTGTTGGCCCCCAGTGCCATATACAAATTAACAATAAATAAGGCTAAGAGAAGGGGTGTGCTCATCAGAGAAGCAGGTGGAGACCAGGGTCATGATGGAGAGCCCTGTGGGACCACAGAACCGACTGGAATGAAACACTGAAGAGAGGAGAGGGAACATGTCACATCCCAGAACTTCTCAGTAAAGGAAGCAAGGTCAGCCTGGCCACCACCCACACTTCCCACAGGCCTGCTGTGCCAGTCTTGTGTGGCTGTACACTGAAGGCTCACCAGGGCATCTTGCCATTCAAGCAACATGGCCACAGGGTTGGTGCAGACCCGGGTGGGCCCTGGAGGTGGGGTTCGGCTGGTGTAGAAGGCACACTCGTCATCCAGACGAGCCTCATGGGAACAGTGGATGGCGGCGAGACAAGCTTTGAGGCGCTGCCTCAGGGCCAGGGTTCGAGGGGCCAGACTGCTGGGGCCTAAAGGCCATGGAGACTTTAGAGGGAACTCTGGAATTCTATAATCCCATCAGGCACTGCCCCTTCCCGTCCCCCAAGGGCCAAGCCAATTAAGAGCCTGGGACTAGAGTGGTAGTCTTCATTTTCTTCATGTGAGAGCCAGAGAAAAAGACCACATGGCATTGCCTGGTGCAGACCAGGGCCCATTCCCAGAGGCAAAACCCTTTTTCTTCGCATCCCTTCCCAGCCGATTCCTTACCTGACTGGCCTGTCTGGGGCCTCAGAGACTGGAATGAGTGGATAGGGAGGCTGGCACAAAGTGGGCTTTGTGAAGAGAAGGTCAAGCTGGTGGTGGCTGGAGGCCCCTGACTGCAGGAAGGCAGTGGGCTGGACTCTGGGCTTCTAGCTTCCAGAAAATGGGCTGCTGATGCCCTCAGCTCTATCCTAGGGCAAGCCTCAGGGGGTCCAGCCTGCCCTTGGGGACTAGGCAGTGATGGAGGGCTGGACTCTAAGACTTCTGGCTGTTCCTGGGAGGGCTCTGATAGCTCTAGGGGCTCTGGCTCTGTGGGAGGGCAAGGCTGAGCCACCTTTCCCTCATCCCCAGGGCAGGGCTGTGGCTCCTCACACTCTTCTGCAAGGCAGAGCTCTGGCAGTTCAGAGCATTTTGACAGTCCAGGAAGGTGGGAAGTTCCAGAATTATGTTTTGGAACATTCAGAGTTCTAGATATTGTAGCCAGCAGGGGCTGTAGTTCAGTCATATCTAGAGCAGAGCCTCCATTAAGAGGGGCACACTTGTCTACTACCAGCCCCTCTACCTCGTGTCGCAAGAGCTGCTGCAGGATACTGATGCGCTGTGGTATGAGAGAATGTTCCAGTATATCATCATTGTAGACTCAGTCTCCCCACACTGTCCTCTCCCCACACCCCTACCTATCCTTTAAGCTCCCTGTTCCCAGCCCTCTCATGGCATAGAAAGTAACAAAAGTGTTACCTCCACAGACCCACCTGCACCTTTAGTTCTTGGAAGTTGGGGGTTTTATTGGGGTGAGGTTTGAAAGGACTTGCCACAGGCAGTTTCCCAGATCCCTCCTGTAGTGTGATGCAACTATCCTGGTCAAACAACCGTACAGCAATCTGCTCCTGACACACAGAAGGGGGCAAGGACAGGAAGCCAGGCTCAGACAGGAAAAAGACTACTCTGTCCTCACCTTCAGGACAGATCAAAGCTCCTGAGTGGCTCCAGAATTAGGTTCATACTTTATAATATCAGCTCAGGAGATGAGGCAAGAGGATCAAAAGTTTGAGGCTGGGCAGCAGGGCGTGGTGGCGCACGCCTTTAATACCAGCACTCTGTTAAGGCAGAGGCAGGGGGATCCCTGTGAGTTCAAGGCCAGTCTGGTCTACATAGTGAGTTCCAGGACAGCTGGGGCTACAGGGAAACCCTGCTTCAAAAAGACCAAAAAAAAAAAAAAAAAAAAAGTTTGGGGCGGGGGGGGGGGGGGGGAGGGTTCGCAAGAAAAGCCCACGGGGGCCTTTGCAGTAAAAAAAGTTTGAGGCTGGTGGGGCTGGAGAGAAGGCTCAGCAGTAAGAGCACTGGCTGCTCTTGCAGAGGTCCCAGGTTCAGCTCCCAGCATCCACGTGGCATCTAACAACTGCCCATAACTCCATTTCCAGGGGATCCAATGCCCTCTTCTGGCCTCCTTGGGTTTGCAGACAAGTGGCAAAACACTCATACACACAAATTTTTTTAAAAGTTTGAAGCTGGCAAGATTGCTGAGCAGATAAAAGGGCTTGTGAAAGGCTGAAGACCTGACTTTGAATGGAACCCACAGTGGAAGGAAAGAACCAGTTTCCAAAAGTTGTCTTCTGACCTCCATGACCTGCACACCCACATTGTGGAACATGTGCCCAGACCACACATCATAAACATCATAAACACACACAAATAATTTTTTTTTTTTTTTTGGTCTTTTTGAGACAGGGTCTCCCTGTAACTCCAGCTGGCCTGGAACTCACCATGTAGACCAGGCTGGCCTTTAACTCACCGAGATTCACCTGTCTCTACCTCCTGAATGCTGGGAGTAAAGGTGTGTGTGGACTATCACACCTGATTATAGAAAAAAAGGTTTTAAAAGGTTTGAGCACAGCTGGAGAGGAAAGAGGCTTCTCTACTCAGCATACCTGCCTCATATCATGAGGCTGTCAGCCCTCCAGGGCAGCAGGACGGTGCCATGGACCTCAACACAGGAAAGTTGTTTTTTTTTCCTTAGATGGTCTTACTACATAGCCCTGGCTGGCCTTGTGGGCCTTAAACTCAGAGATCCTCCAGTCTGCCTCTGCCTTCTGAGTTGATGGGATTAAAAGCAGGTGTCACCACACGCAGCCAAAAAGGCTTCTGACACTTACCCAGGGCAGGGGAGGTTCTTCAGGACAAGAATGAGGAGAGAGGCCTCTCAACCACTGGGCCTGTAACAGAAATGACTCATCAGCAAGGCCCAAGACCCATGGGTGAAATGCAGTCTTCCCTGGACTGTCTTAACCCCTGACCCCAAAGCCCCTCTCTTTCCCTCCCCAGCCCTGGCCCTGGCCAGTTATGTCCTCCACTTTCTCTTACCTTTTGGACTCTGGGGGCTGATCGGATGGGTGTGAATTGGGTTTTGGGTCGAATGGCAAATCGTCGCAAGGATGAATAGGAGTTCTGGGGAGACATGTGGGGGACTGAGCCAGATTCAACTAGACCGAGCAGGGCTCTGCAGCCCAAATGTTCTGTTCCTGCCCAGTTCAGGAGTTTATTGATACAAACCACAGCCGAGAGGCCTGGGGAAGGGACACGCTGAGCCTGTCCAAAGGGTGATGGGCGGATGACAGGTGGCATCACACAACCAGACACGGGCTGGGCTACAGGGGCAGGAGAGGGCATCGGAAGAGATTCACTACTGCCCTGTAGAGGGGAAGAAGGTGGAAAGAGTGACTGTTCTGCCTTTGCCTTCACCTGTCTCATTCTCCCTGCAGAAGCTGGTATTAGTTTTTAAAGACAGGCTCTTCTGTAGTGTGGACTGGCCTGGTCCCAGCTATGCAGCCAAGTGGCTGGCCTTGAACTCCTGATCCTTCTGCCTCTAGCTCCCGAGGCAGGGATTATGGCTATGTGCCACCATGCATGACATCAACATTTCTTTCAAGACAGAGCCAAATATCACTCCTTTATTCACTCTTTTTCCTCCTGGGTTTCTTTTTTTTTAATTGAATTTTTGCAATTTTCATAAAACATAGTTTGATGGTATTTAGATGCCCTCCTCTATCTGTATCTACCCCCACTGTCCCCCACTCAATTTAATGTACTCTCATCCAAGAGCCCCATCCCTACAAGACACTGTCTTTCTCCCTCCCAGCAGTCAGCAGTCATTGATTGCTGAAAAGTTCCTTAGGTTGGATTAGGATTTTTTTTTTTAATTTTACTTTATGTATATGCATGTATTGCCTGCATGTAGTTAAGTGCACCTGTTTTGTGCAATGCCCACAGAGGTCAGAGAGGCTGTCAGATCCCCTGGGACTGGAGTTACGGACAGTTGTTAGCTGCCATGTGGGTGCTGGGATTCGAACCTGGGTCTTCTGCAAGAACAACCAGTGTTCTTACCTGCTGAGCCATCTCTCTAGCCCTGGGTTAGGATTTTTTTATTTTTATTTTTTGGTCTTTTTGAGACAGGGTCTCCCTGTGGCCCGGAACTCTCGATGAAGACCAGGCTGGCCTTGAACTCACAGAGATCCACCTGCCTCTCCTCCCAGTGCTGGGATTAAAGGTGTACACCACCATACCCAGGCAGGTTAGGATTTCTTAACCACTTCACCATGACTATGCTGGGATTTTTTTCTGGTCTGAGTTTGCATGGGACTTATGCATGTTGTCACCATTTCTGTGAATTCATATGAGTAACTGACCAGCTGTTTAGAAGACTCTGTTTCCTTGTGGTCATCTACCCCCCCTTTGGCTCTTACAATCTTTCTGCCTTCTCTTCAGCAATGATCCCTGAGCCTTGGGAGGCAGAGGTCTGAAAAAGGTGTCCCATTCATGGGTAAGTGCTCCGTGGCCTCTTGTTCTCTGCACAGTGGCCAATTGTGGGTTTCTGCGTTAATCACCATCTGCTGCATAAGGAAACTTTTCTGGTGAGAGATGCATTCATCCTACATGTAGAGGCTGCACTGTAGATATGTCACTTAGGACTAAGTATCTCATAGACACTATTCTCTGTGCTTGAGCAGTTCTGGAACCCTGCAAGTTTTCATCCCAGCTATTCAGGCACTCTCAGGCTTTTATTCTTAAAAAAAATTTTTTTTAATTTTTATTTTATGTGTATGTTATGTCTGTATGTAAGTATACCTGTGTGCCAATGCCCACTGGGGGCCAAAAGGTGGCACTGGATCCCTTGGAACTGGAGTTGCAAATGGTTGTTAGCGTCCATGTGGGTGCGAGGAACTGAACTGGGGTCCTCTGCAAGAGCAGCCAGTGCTCTTAAGTGCTAAGCCATCTCTCCAGCCCCTCCCCTTGGTTTTCTATTGTACTGGTCTAGTTTGCTGGCCCACAAACACACTAGATATATTCTACCCATAGGGCTTTTACATTTGCAGTTCTCTTGGCCTAGAATGTTCCTTCCTAGATATCTGTATGGTTCACACCCTCAATTCCTGGTTTTCACATAAACATCATCTTTTCAATGACAGTACCTTTTTTGTTTAAAGATCAGTAATATTCCTTTATTTCTGTTTATGTAAGTGTATGTGTGTGTGTAAGTGCACATGTGTGTGTGGGTACCCATGGAGGCCAGAAGAGTGAACTGGATACCCTGGAGCTGGAGTTACAGAGTTGTGAGTCACCCAACATGGATGCTGGGAACCAAACTCAGGTCTCCTAAAAGGGTGAAGAGCCCTCTTAACCACTGAGTCATCTCTCCAGCCCCACCAAACAACAACCCCCCCAGCTTTATTCTTTTTCAACTACAAATGGGCTGGTATTTTGTCCCAAATAGAGCTGGGAGGCTGAGGTCTATAGGGACCTTTTTAGTTCCTACTGATGACGTTCAACACTGAATTAAATCAGCTCCCCTAATCCCATCCAGTCCTACCTTCTGAGGGTCTGAGGACAGATACCAGGGTAGTAGCCATGGCTCCCGAATTCAACAGTCCTGGCAACCACTACTGCTTGCAGGGGCAGAGTTAAGACGCAAGGAGGATCCACTATGGTTCACAACCATAGGCAGCCTCTGCTGGGCCATTTGCCACCATATGTAGCCCTACCAAACTACATTTAAAAAATTATTTTAGGGGCTTGAGAGATGACTCAGCAGTTAAGAACACTGGCTGTTCCTGCAGAAGACCCAGGTTTGAATCCCAGTAACCACATGGTGGCTAACAACCTTCTATAACTCCAGTTCCAGGAGATCTGATGCCCTCTTCTGTTGTCCACAAGCATCGTATGACATGGGTACACTTATACATATATGCAGTCCATACATGCATACACATAAAATAAAAAATATTTTTAAAAATAAAATAAAAATTATTTTAGAGCTGGGCGTGGTGGCATCTGCCTTTAATTTCAGCGCTTGGGAGGCAGAGGCAGGTGGATTTCTGTGAGACTGAGGCCAGCCTGGTCCACACAGTTGAGTTCTAGGCCAGTTGGGGCTACAGGGAGACCCTATCTCAAAAAGACCAAAAACAAAAACCCAAACCGAAACAAAACAAATCCAGGTCTTGGTTTGTAGCCCTGACTAGTTTGTCACACTATGGAGAGCAGGCTGTCTGGAACTCAGGAAAATGCCTGCCCCTCCCTCTGAGTACTGAGATTAAAGGCGTGTGCCCTATTCTTTTTTAAAAAAGTCCAGGTCTTGGGGCTGGAGAGATAGCTCAGTGGTGAAGAGCACTGACTGCTCTTACAGAGGACCCGGGTTTGATTCCCAGCACCCACATGGCAGATAACAACTATCTGTAATTCCAGTTCCAGGGGAATGCGATACCTTCTTCTGACCTCTGGGCACTGCACGACATGGGTGCACTTACACATATAACACTGATACACACAAAATAAAAATAAATAAATATTAAAAAAAGTCTAAGTCTTGGTCTGTAGCCCAGGCTGGTCTGACACTCAGTCCATAGCAGCCTAAACTGTCCTTGCAATTCTTCTGCCTGAGGCTCCTGAATGCTGGGTTACAGTCATGTACCACCATGCATGACTCTAAACTACTTTGAACTTATGATACCAACTTTCCCCCCAATTCCCTTCAGTGCCTTATTTTGCTTATTTATTTTTACAGAGAATATTGTCCTTCTACATATCTTGTATTAATTTTTTGCAGCCCCTTTCTAGAATATGTACATCCAGAGCCCAGAACAAGTCTGCATTCAATAGCTAGTCAGTAAATATCTGTGGAATGGAGGGATGGATACTTTTGGCTGACAAGTGTTGGACATGTTTCAGCCTCAGAACTGATCTGATGGGGATTCAAACACATACCAGTCTGTCATCTCTCACCCTAGGCCCCAAATACCTGGTTAAAAGGAGTCAGATCCACTCGGAAGAGGGCGCTTCGGCCAAACTCTGGCAAACTCAGACCCATTAACATCCTGAGACCCAAGACTACCTGGGTTTACCCACAGTCCTCAGTGCATCCCCTGAACTCCTTACCCCCATCCCAGGAAGGCCCATCTCACCCTGGTGTGCATTATCACTTGGGTTTCTCTTAGTGGTACTCGCTGGGCCAGACCCAAGAGGGCTCCTCCTCCTTCATCTGAATGAGGGACACTCTCATGTTCTCCTTCAGGGAGTGAGGAAGCTGGGAGACAGGATGTTTGCTGTAGTATCTACAACTCCCACCAAAGTCCACCTATCCACACTCCAATACTACCTCAGCAAATACTTAATCCAAACACCCTGGGTGGGCTGGGGATGGTGGTGGCTCTTAAAAGAAGCATGAGTAAAAGTTCGGTCTTGCAGGAAGTAGCAGGGACACAAGTACAAATGGGCAACCACTGGCCTAGTCAGGCCTCTTCCTCTCCTGGTGTGTGTCTTTCTGGGATGTGAATCTAGAGCCTTATGAAGGCTAGGCAAGTACTCTACTACTGAGCTAGCTACATCTCTAGACCTCCAGCACCTTTTGACTTCCCCTCCCTACCCTCCTACTTCCTAACCCGACTCTTGCTCCCCAAAGTGGCCTGCTGACCTTTTTGTCTTGTTCCTAGTGCAGGCGGCTCATCCACTCCTGCTCTCCCCCAGACATACTCACCAGGCTGAGCTGGGGTCTCTGGGTGCAATCTTGACGCCTGGATCACTGAAGTCCTGCTGAGAGGAAAGGATAACAGCTATCACTGAGCATCAAGCATGGCTGGGTATCTGCTAAGTGCTTTCCAAACATCAACTCATTGCATTTTCACAATAACCTCCAATGGTACAAATGTCATCCTCACTTGACTGATAAAGAATCAAAACTCAGACAAGTTAATGCAAGCTTGCATAACTAATAGTGCTAAGGATCAGGACTTAAAACTCAAAACCCATTTATGTCAGTTTATGTTCTAGACAAAAGAAATAGCATTTCACATTTCTGCTCCTCTGTTCCTTCCTGTCATACTGAAGACCTGGCCCCTATTCCACAGGCTTACCCTGGGTAGTCATGTTTCCCTCACTCTAGGCTGAAAGGGAATTTACACCCCTCCTCACCGGCTACTGCCACATGTCTCTCTTCTTAGCTCCTGTAAACTGAGGCGGGTGGAGGGGTGAAAGGCCAGTCCTGAAGGTGGATTCTGATCCATAGGAACAAGACATGAAAGCAGAGTCAGAAGTAGGCCCCAATCCACAAATGAACACCAGCCTACCTCCCCAGCAGGACCAGCTGGGTCACCATGATGTGCCATCCTAAGGCCCCACTTTGTTCCAGGAAGTTCTCAGAAAGACTGACCATCAGCGCCCCCCCCCAGGGTACTCACCAGAGCTTCTAATCTCTGTGGGCACAAGGTCTGGCCTCGGGGTCCTGGTCCCTCCAGTCTTGAGAAACAGGAAGCCCTGGCAGGGTCCAGTCGATGGATGGGGGTTCTAGGAGCCATGTATGCAGAAGACCGGGCACTCTGGGACCCCAACAGAGGCTATCAGCAAGAGTTCAGAATCTGTTCCTCAGCCCACCCCAGCTGCTCTCGTATCCTTCTCATTACCTGGCCCCTCCGGATGGTGCCTCCCTTGTTCCCTCGAACCAATACTCTCTGAGCCAAACTGGACTGGCGCCCCAGGGGACAGCTCTTCACTCCCTCACCTGACAGGATGGTGGCCAGGGCTGCAGGATCAGCAACAAACTCTATGGCCCCTGTAGCCTCTGCAAGGGAAGAAGAGAAAGGAAGATGAGAAGGGACAGGACGGGAGATGCTGAGGGGCCATAGGAACCCAAGCATAGTTAGCTGAGGTGCAATAGTGAGCAGAAGATTTATTCAAGCCAAGCTTAGTGGTGCACACCTAGAATTCTCTCAATTAGGAGGTTGAGGCAGGAGAATCAGGTGTTCAAGGCCAGCCCTCCACTACACAGAGAGCTCAAAGCCAGTCTGGGCAACATGAGACCTGAGAAAGAGTGAGAGAGAGAGAGAGAGAGAGAGAGAGAGAGAGGTTTATCATCCAAGTGAACCTAGCTCATCACATGTCAGCATTGAGGTAAGCTAGATACGACAAAGCTACTCAGCATTGAGGTAAGCTAGACACGACAAAATAAGGGCCCTGTCCTTAAGCTATTGTGGGGGCTGGAGAGATGACTCAGTGGTTAAGAGTTAAGAGCATGTACTGCTCTTACAGAGGACCCACGTTCAGTTCCCAGGATCCACATCTGGGACTTACAGCTGCCTTATAATCCTAACTCCAGGAGGATCAGATGCCTCTGGCCTCCACAGGCACCTCCACATGCACATGCCCATACACAGACACAGATACACATAATTAAAAATAAGGGGCTGGCCGGGCATGGTGGCGCACGCCTTTAATCCCAGCACTCAGGAGGCAGAGGCAGGCGGATCTCTGTGAGTTCAAGGCCAGCCTAGTCTACATAGTGAGTTCCAGGACAGCTGGGGCTACAGGGAGACCGTCTCAAAAAGACCAAAAAAAAAAAACGGGGGGGGCTGGAGAGATGGCTCAGCAGTTAAGAGCACTGACTGCTCTAGCAGAGGACCCAGGTTCAATTCCCAGCACCCACATGGCAGCCAACAACCGTCCATAACTCATACATGCAGGCGATACACTCATACACATAAAATAAAAATAATAAAATATAAAAATAAATTAAGTTTGCTAGGTATGGTGGCCCACGCCTTTAATCCCAGCACTTGGGAGGCAGGGGCAGGCGGATCTCTGTGAGTTCAAGGCCAGCTGGGACTACAGGGAGACCCTGTCTCAAAAAGATCCCCCCCCAAAAGTTACGTTTTATTTATTTATTTTTATTTGTATGAGTGTATTGCCTGCATGTATGTTAAGTGCCCCTGTGTTGTGCAATGCCCACAGAGGTCAGAAAAGGGTGTCAGATCCCCTGGAACTGGAGTTAGCCAGTTGTTACTTGTCATGTGGGTGCTGAGAACTGAACCCAGGTCCTCTGCAAAAGCAACCAGTGCTCTTAACTGCTGAGTCATCTCTCTGGCTCCCAAAATTACTATTTTTTTAAAAAAAAAGTTATATCAAGCTAGAGAGATAGCCTAGTGGCTAGGAGTGCTTACTGCTCTTGCAGAGGACTGGAGTTCAGTTCCTAGCACCCATGTCAGGCAGCTCAGAACTGCCTGTTAACTCTAGCTCCAGGGGGATTAGATGTCCTCTTCTGTTTTCCAAAGGTGCAACATCTGCATGCAAACCCACACTCACATACACAAGATCAAAAAAAAAAAAAAAAAGAAGAAAATTTAAAAAGCTACACAGACTACTGAGAAGTAACAGTCAAGTCATTTAAAGTATGGCCAGATTACAAGGAATGAACCGCAAGGTACTAGGACAACAGAGCAATTGACCGCGACTGAGGTTGAGGAACAAACTTCCAGAAAAGATGACATTGGCTGAAGAGATGACTTCTTAAAGCAAAGAGCAGAGCAGGAACCAGGATTCAGTAAGCCAGACCAGCAGATGTGCAAAGCCCCAAATCCCACTGCGCCTTTCCCAATTCCCATTCAACCGAGGAGGTTATTTCCAGGCCTCCAACAGGTACCTGTCTGGGGAGGGTGTCCGAACCCCACATTTTGTACTCCAGGGCTAGGCGTGAGTTCCTCCAAGGGGTTCCGGGGCTGAGTGCCCATCAATCTTTGTGATTTCTCCGTCTGGTGCAAGACTGTGGATCTGAGGCCTGCTGGGTCAACTAGCGAACGCTGAGTACCGAGCGGTGGCTTCTGCACCAGTCTCTGAAGGGAGCGGGAACAAAGGCAGGATTCAGCGTCGGGATGCACTGCAGATGTGTGCTGCCTACTCTCTTCGCCCACCAAGCCCCTCTTACCCTTGGGTCTTGGTTCTCCTGGTCCAGGGAGCACGGCTTGACTGTGGAAAACTCTGGGCATCTCTGGGAGAGTACCGGAATCTTGCTAGGGGTGGGATGAACCCCTCGGAGGCGGGGATCCTTCGTGGTCTGGAGAGTAGTCATGGCAGCTACAACTGAGGCGGGGAAAGAAGGCAGGCAGGACTGGGGATCAAAGCCAACCAATTGTTAGGGTATCGGTACTGACATCCCTGATACGTCCACCTTGGTCCCAATCCATGTGCCCCCATCGCCTGCAAGGCCGCTCTTCGGGGAGTAGGCCTCCAAGGCACCCCAAGCCTGCTCTCCTCCCTCGGAGCCTCCGCGGGACTCCTCCCCTCCAGAATCCCGTGCCGCACCTTTCCGGGAGCCCCGCAGGGGCAGCTCCACTTTCTCAACTTTTTTGTCGATTTTCTGGGTGGCTGCTGCTGCTGCGGCTGCTCCCCGAGTTTGTAAAATACGACAAGCTCCTGATTGGCTCGTTCCAGCAGCCGCGGAAGCGCCTGACGTCCGACCCAGCCATCCAATCCGCAGGCCCCGAAGGCGGGGCCAAAGAGGGACGCGTTGTGGAACCGCTTTCCGCCCAGGAAAAGAAAACCTGACTGACTCTATCCGGCCGTGCGAGAGCCGAGCGCGAGGGGACGGCTTGGAGGAAAGGGCGGAGGATGCAGCGTTGAGGCCCGGGAAGGCAAGTCTGGGCCGCAACGGGTGCTGTCGTAATCTCGCGAGGCCTCAGGATGGGCCTTCCCGGAAGGGCCGAGGCACTATGGGAAGAGCTGGCCATTCCATCGCCCTTGACCCGACTCTGATTTCTAGAGCAAGGCGGAGCTCTCGGGACCATCCCACTTTGAAAGCTTGGGCACGTCCTGCCGAGGATGGAGAACTGCCTCCAGCTGGCTCGGGGGAACTGAACTAAGCCTGACAAGAAGAGCCAAGAAATCATTTTGTCCACTTGGACGTCACAACCTGGTGGGCTGTGGTCAGATTGAGCGTCGCTGGAACTCAGTTAACACCAGAATTGAATGACTCCTCACTCTTGGGTCTCTCCATCTTCTGCCTTTCGCCTCTCTGGAGAGAGGGCTCACCTGTGAAGGGGCCAGATTTAGGGAGAAGGGGAGATAGACAATGCCCCGGCGCCCCAACACACACAGGGTATCTATCCCAGGCTGGCCTGGAACTCGAGGGTAATTCCGGCTGGCTCCAAGTTTGCAACTTGTTGCTCAGCCTCCCAAGTGCTAGATAGCACGCACCCTGCCTAGGAAAGAGTTTCAAGTTTAAAGGACGCTGATATCCAAGCAAGGAAGGGAGTTATTCCTGAACAACTCTCTGACCTCTCCCCTTCCATATCCGACTTCTCTCACCTGCTTTACCTTTTTTTTTTTTTTTTGTCATTTTGAGACAGGGTCTCCCAGCTGTCCTGGAACTCACTATGTAGACTTGGCCTCGAACTCACAAAGATCCACCTGCCTCTGCCTCTGAGTGCTGGGATTAAAGACATGGTGGCACACACCTTTAATCCAAGCACTTGCCAGGTAAAGGCATGCAGGTGTGAGTTTGAGGCCTACATAGCAAGTTCCAGGCCAGGCAGGCTACATAATGAGATGTCTCAAAAAATAAGGAGGAGGGGAGGAATTGAGGCAACAGCTGTCAGTAAAGTGCTTGCTGTGTAGCCATGAGGACCTGAATTAGATCCGTGGCATGCATCTAAAAAAATTGAGTTTGGTGATTCATGCTTATGGGCCCTCCTGGTAAGTCAGCCTAACCTAATCATGGAGTCTCAGGTACCATACAAACAAACAAAAACACTTAGGGCTGGAGAAATGGCTCGGGTTAAGAGTACTTGCTGTTCTTCCAGGGAACTAAGTTCCCAGCACCCACATTGGTTGACTCACAGCTGCCTGTAACTCCAGCTTCAGGGAATCTTAACACCCTCTTCTGACCTCTGCGGGCACCAGCACACACAGGTGATGTGACATACACTCACACAGTTGCACACATATATACATTTAAAATAAAAATTGAGGACCAACATGGAGGTTGACATCTGACCTCCATGCACACATGTGCACCTGAACACACACCTGCAACACATCCATAAAAATGGGGAAGTGGGTAAGAGCCAATACTCAATGCTCAAAATGCTTTGGGTATTGACATCCTGTCTGTTTTCTTTTGTTTTCTTGCAATGCTGATGATGAAAGCCAGGGTCTTGTGTCAGCTGGGCAAGAAGAGCTCTACTACTGAGCTATACCCCATCCCAATCCCTTGTATACTTGAAACATTGCAATTTGTTTGTAAAGGAATACAATTGATTTTCTAATCTTAATGAGCTTTTTCTCTTGGATTTCCTAGTTTGTCTATTGATTCTACTGAGTTTTGTTTTCTGCAAACAAAACCAATTTCATGTATTCATATATATATGGCATAGAACCTGGGACCTCAAAAATGCTAACAATTGCTCTACTGCTGAACAAATCCTCAGCCCTTTTCTGTCTTTTTCTCTTTTGAAAAAGATCTTTCTTTTTCATTTTTCTTTTTTGGTTGGTTGGTTGGTTGGTTGGTTGGTTGGTTGGCTGGTTTGAGACAGAGTCTCATATAACATAGGTGGCAGGCACTGCTCTGGATCGCTTTAGTTGTCAATTTGACACACCTGAGTAGAGGGAACCTCAAATGAGGAATTTCCTCCTTTGGATTAGCCTCTGGCCATGTCTGAGAGCCATTTTCTTGATTGTTGAGTGATGTGGGAGGGCTCATCCTACTGGGCAGTGCCACCTGTGGGCAGGTGGTCCTGAGTCGAGAAAGAAAGCAGACTGAGCACAGGCCAGAGAAGCAAGGCAGTAAGCAGCGCTCCTCCATAGTCCATGCTTCAGTTCTTGCCTCCAGGTTCCTGCCCTGACTTTTCCTCAGTGATAAACTGTGACTTGGGAGATGTAATATAAACCCTTTCCTCCCAAATTTGGTTTGGTCAGTGTTTTTATTACAGCAATAGAAAGTAACTAGGACAGGCTTCCATTTGTATGAAGTTAAGACTTTGAGCTAGGCGTGGTGGTGCACGCCTTTAATCCCAGCACTTGGGAGGCAGAGGCAGGCAGATCTTTGTGACTTAGAGGCCAGCCTGGTCTATGTAGTGAGTTCTAGGACAGCTGGGGCTACAGGGAGACCCTGTCTCAAAAAGACAAAAAAAAATAATGACTTTGAGGGTCTGGAGAGATGGATCAGCAGTTAAGAGCACTGACTGCTCTTGCAGAAGACCTGGGTTCGATTCCTAGCACACACATGGTGGCTAACAGCCGTCTATAACTCCAGTTCTGGGGGGAGTCTGATATCTTCTTTGGTCCTCCTCAGGTGTTGCATGACATGGGTGCACTTATATACATGCAGGTAATACACTCATACACATAAAATAAAAATAAAAAAAGAATGAGGGACTGGAGAGATGGCATAAAACAGGTGTGTAATCCCATCTCTCAGAAGGTAGAGGTCTGAGGGCCAGGAGTTCAAGGTGATCCTCAGCTACATAGCAAAGTTGAAGCTATCCTAGGATAGGGAGACTCTGACTCAAACAAAAATCCCATAATATGAAATAAGATAAAAATGTAAATTGGAGGCTGGATGTGGTAGCACACGCCTTTAATCTCAGCACTCAGGAGGCAGAGGTAGCTGGGTCTCTATGAGATTGGGACCAGCTTGGTCTACATAGAAAGTTCCCGGCTACCTGGGGCTATAGGGAGAAACTGTCTCAACAAATGAAGTGAAAAAAAAAAAAAAAAAACAAAGCAAAAAACAAATCAACAACCCCCCCAAAAACCCAAAACCAAGAAAGCCACAAAATGGAGATTGGAATATTTGTCTTCCTATTAAAAGCAGTAAGTCTCTTCCCCTTTTCCTTAGAATAAACTGAATGCACTAATATGGCCCGTGGCATTCTCGGGACCAGTCTTTTGTTTCATTCTTCCATTCTGGGACCGTCCTTTCTTTTTAGTCTGCTTTCAGCGCTTAACCTGCACAGCCTTGCTGGGCTCTTTTCCTAGAAAGTTCCCCTCCTCTCTGATTCACCTGATGCTTCCTGTGCTTTCTCACATTCTCCAGGGCAGATTCACCAGACTATTGTGCATTCTCTAGGGCTCCCATGATATCACTCCTTTAGAAAGTCCTCCCCACATTGCTAGGCTGGCTAGGGCTCTTCCTCAGGTTGCTTCATTTCTGTTTTTCCACCTCAGCAGGAGCCTGGCATTTTCCGCTCATTTGTCTACCTCACCACCATGGATTACACACTCTGGCTAGTTTCCTGAACCTAGCACCATGATTGAATGAAGTCCACGTGTGGGCTTTCGCTTGAAGGATGGAATGGAACTGGAGGACAATCTGGAAACATATTTCAAGCAGTATAGGGAGGCAGTGATGGATCTGATTCTCCACCCAAGTGTACTGAGCAGATTTGAATAGTCTGCAAATCCAGGGAAGGAAGCCATTGATAGTGTAACTAATGTAATCCAGGCAAGAAATGATGGTGACCTGGACTAGGGTGGGGAGGAAGGGGAGAAACAGATTTAAGAGCTCAGAAACAGGTGTGGGAGGCTGGAGAGATGGCTCAGCAGTTAAGGGCACTGACTGCTCTTGCAGAGAACCAGCACCCATAATGCAGCTAACCATGTGTAACTCCAGTTCCAGGGGATCTGATACCCTCTTCTGATCTCTATGGATATTGCATGCATGTGGTGTACTTACATACATGCAGGCAAGACATTCATTCACATAAAAAATTTAAAAAAAAACAAAACCTGGACACAAGGTCTAGAGAGAGAGCAGTTAAGAGCACTGACTGCTCTTGAAGAGGACCTAGGTTTGATTCTCAACACCCACATGGCAGCTAACAACCATGTGTAACTCCAGTTCCAGGGGATCCAATGCCCTCTTCTGACCTCCAAGGGCATTGTACAACATTGGTGGGTGCACTTACACACAGGCCAGCAATACACTCATACATGTAAAATAAAAATAACAAAATATTTTTAAAAAGATGGACATCGTGGCTCATGTCTATAATCCCAGGACTCGGGGACTGAGGTAAGAAAATCACTGTAAGTTCCAGGCCAGCCTGGGGTACACAGTAAAATCCTGTTCTAAAAGATAAGCAAATAAAAAAGAAGCAAGCAGCAACTAGGTATGTGGCTCAGCGGTAGAGCTCTTACCAAGCAAGTGTGAGAACTTGAGTTCTAGCTCTAGCTGCACAACCGGTGGGGGGGGGTGAGAAAAAGACCCAACACTTGATTTTGCTGAGGCAGGAGGATTGCCATGAGTTTGAGGACAGCCTATACTACAGAGATCCTGCCTCAAATTTTATTTTATTT